CTTCCTTAGTTTTGGGCATTGGGTATTTTGTCTCAGCAATGAGAGAAAGGTAACCAAGACACCTATGAAATTCTGGCATCATATATTTTTGTATGTCAACCACTTTCTCTTCCTCTAAATAATAAGCTTGTAATCATTTTAACATTAATCTTTTATTGTTGTACTGTTTCTATACTATCGTACATTTAAACTCTTACCTAAGTAAGATTCCTAAGTAACACACTAAAATCTACTTTTTCATAGGCACTCAACACTTCATGACAGAAGAGTAAGTCAGTGAACTTCGGAAGAAATATTTGCTACCTCATACCTCATAAATGTTTAATTGTATGCCTAGTGGCTTTATAAGTATTATAGCAATGTGAGAGGGAGTATTGACTTTTGTATGACTCGTTCCAGGGTGGAGTTGTGGCCTCCAAGTAGCACAATATCATATAGGATCCTTACACTAACACCACATCCTTGGACTTGAGTTTCTTTGCAGTGTTCCACCCCAGCACAGCCAGGGGTCCCAGTGTTCAGCAATTTAACCCTGTAATCCAGGTCTCCAACACTGTGCCCTATAGATTATGTATCCCACATATAACAATGGCTGGGATTCAGGCCATTCCAGAATTGTGTTTGCTACATTATGCTTTATTTTGTCCTCTAAAAGATGAATCAAGATCCATGTAATTTCACTGGGATCCATTTCTTCCTCTTTTCTTCCTGCATACATAAAACAGCTTATCTCAAACTTTGCAGGCATACATTTTGCTAACCTGGGGAAAGAGGTATATGAACTTTGCTGTCATCCAGTATCAGGATCAGAAATAAAACTTAACACTAAACAGTTCTAACAATGATGCCAACTCTGGCCTGGTTTGTAATGTGAAATGGCATTTGATACAGTTTGGAGCATTGTAAGGACACCCAATTTTTCTTAGAATAAATGATTTAGGAAACTCTGATGCACAAAAATGCTATATATTAGCTACAGAAAAAACAATGCCACCAAAGGCCTATAGTATTTTATTGGAACAGATGTGAGGCAATGCGACACAATGTTCCCAAGGATTGAACTCAGGTCCTTGCGCTTGCCAGGGAAGAACTTACTCTACTGAGCTATCTCCCTGGCCCCCCATTTGCTTGTTCTTGATAGATTATGAATGCTGTATTATTTTCTCTTTCCTCATGCTTTACATAAAGGATATGTGGACCACTGTAAGTTTGCTGGCACAGGCCTCCTTGCAAGATCATGAACATTTTTCCTTTAACTTCTAGAGGGATGATAAGACAAAAGGAGGTATTCATGAGAAAACAAGACTCAAGCTCCTTCAAGATGGGTTCTTTTCAATGAACCTACTAATTGCTCCCTCAGTGGTGCATGCCGTTACATGGATTTCTAGTTGCATCTTAATTGGCCTACTGGATCTTTTTGAGGTAGAAGAACTGCTACCTTCAGTCATACTCTGAGGAAGACTCTCATAAATGAAGGAAATCCTACATGGCAGATTGCATCAGGCTTTCACTGAAAACTTCTCCCACCTACTATGTGACCAACAAGCCACAGGCTTGGTGCTCATTAGCATTAGGGGAAGTTGGGCCAATTTATAATGTATTTTTGTAAAAACTATATTTGGCACAGAGTCTCACTGCACAGATGGGACTTGTAGGGATCCTCCTGTTTTCAGCCTTCCCAGCACTGGGATTACAGGCATGCACCACCACACCCAGAATTGGTGGTTGGCTCAGCTTGCCTGCCCCAGAGGCAGGGCCTGCATGGCATAAAGTGCTTGGGATCCAACCCTAGGTTCCTGTGCTTGCCTAAGCAGGCACTTAGTCCACTGATTTATCTTGCGGGCCCTGGCCAATTTATAATCTAGTGAGGGATTATATCTGATGACTCCTCACCCTAGTCACTGTCTATGTGAAACTTCCCAAGGTATATTGTCCAGAGCACCTACTTTCTGGAAAACCACCTAGATTGCAACCAACACCAAACAAGCAAAAACTTCCACTGCAAAAAGTGATTAGGAAACATTAGTTTAAATAGCTTTCTTTGTCTCACCAGGAAGGAATTTAGTAGGATTCTATTCCAAATTTGTGTTTTACAAATGCATTTGATCACAAAAACCCTTTCTTTCCAAGGTTATCTTTTTGCTACTTTGTGAAACACACTGTAACAAGATCACTTCTGATTGTTAAAATCCTTCAGCTGCTGGAGAACAAGGTGATCCTAGGATAACTCTGGTCGCGCTTCGCTTTCCTACCAACTCTAGCTCTCAAAGGCTTCTTCTGCGGTTCTCTCCATTTCCTGGCTGGCAGTTTCTGGATGGTAAAACACAAAAGAACCGTCTCCTGTTTCTTGAAAAAATGATTAGAGACAGGTTATATAACCTTGATTTTTTTCCCCATGAGCTTTGCTGGGTTATTCAAAGGCATTTTGGAAGCTTGTTACTTGAGCTGACACTGGAAGTGTACTTACAAATGACAATGAAATTGTGGAAATTCTGGTAGGAAAAGCGGGATCGAATTTCTGCTGAAGCTGGAAAACGGTCGTTAGGTAGAAGCAAGAACAGTTAAAAGGATCTGTCTGATATTTACATTTCGTTCTGAAAATGTGCTGTAAAGTTAATCAGCTGATGAAGTACGGAGGTCACTACTAAAGAGGTCGTTGCGCAGATCTCCCCAGTAGTCCCAACGCAGAGGGCTCCTGAAGAGAGGACCTGTAGTTCTCTAACTGGGACACCATGCTGCTGCTGCTGCTGCTGGTGGTGGTGGTGTTAAGAGCGAGTGTTTCTCAACCTCAGCACTATTGCATTTTTGGCCAGATAATTCTTCCAGTGGTGCTGGAGAGATGGACGCAGCAGTTCTGTGCACCATCAAATGTTGGCAGCATTTCTAGCATCTATCTACGGATGCCAGTAGCATTCTCTCCTCAAATTAAAACAAGCAAAACAATCCTCAAGTATCACCAAAAGTACCCCGAGGCACAAAACTGCCGCCTGGCTCGGAACCAGGGGCGCGGTAAGTAACGGGATACACAGTTTCCATATGGCTTTTAGAAAGCAAAAGTCAAAATAAAACGGAAACCAAGCTACAGCCGTCTTTCCTAGAGGCTGTCTCCGCGGGCGCTCAGGACTCACACGCGGAAGGCCGGGCACTTGGCGGCTTTCTGTACCTGAGCCGCTCGGCGGAAGCCTCGGCGTGCGCGGCCGGGTCTCCGTGCGCCCCGCGGTGGGGTCTGCGGGACGCTCGCCTGGGAGGCGCGGTCGCCCGGCTCCGGCGGCCTGCTTGGCCCGGTTCCCTGCCGGGGGTGGAGCCTGGCGGGGCCGGCATGGAGCCGCCCGCGGGCCCCGCTGCAGGCCCCGCCTTGGCCGCCTGAGCCGGCGCCGGCTTCTCCGACGGGAACCTGCGAGCGAGCGCCGCAGCCGGCCGCGCTCAGCCCAGGTGCGGGGACCCCGCCGCCGCGCCGTGCGGGACGTTTCTGCAGTGGAGCTGCGCTTCTCTCTGATTGAAGAACAAACTTCTGCCCAGAAAGTGAGCGGAGAGCTGCCCAGGACCTTGCCGAAGTCCGAGGCGCGGCTCTGGGCCGGGAGCTGGACGCGGTGGGGAGGCGGCAGCCCCGGGGTGGCCGAGCCCCGCAGGGCCGGGGCGGGGTGCGGCCTGCAGGGGTCTGGGCGGGCGGAGAGGCTCCCGCTTCCTCTCCCGGCTTCTTTACGCCGCTCCAGCCCCCGGCGGCCTGGGGTGTCACCAGCTGTCTCTTTTCCAGGCAGTTCAGCGTTTGGCGCCCAGCGCGTTCTGGATTTGGGCTGGCATGTTATTGCCTCCGGGTGTCATTACTAGGCTGTCATCTGCAAGGCATCATTTTCATTGGCCGGGTGCGTATCTGAGGCTTAAGGCTTAGAAGCAGCCCGCGCACCTGCGCCTGCTTCCAGCTCCAGCTGGCCAGGCTGGGGCCGCCCCGCCGCCGCCGCCGCCACCGCCTCGCTCGGGGTGGAGACCGCGGTGTGGAGCGAGGCTGGGGCCGACTCGCTCGGGCGTGAAAAGCTCTGCGGAGAGAGGGGTGTGCGCTGGGCTTGGTGTTTGCCAGGAGGTAAGATGCGGCGTCTCCACCTGGGAAGAAGAAAACTTTTGAACGGGGCTGTGGACCCTCGCCTTTCTTTGTGTCATTTCTCACTGATGACTTAATTTGGGTCTAGCTGATTAAAACTCAGTAAGTTTTAGAACGCCGAAGGGTGAGTCCATAGTGCAGGTGACACTCATAGCGCAGGTTTTACTCCTTAAAAATTCATCAAATAACATTTAAAGGCCCGGTGTTATTTTCAGGAAACTGCACCTGTTGTAAATGAAGGCAGCCCAAAGGACAAATAGGAATTTTTCTTTGACGTTACATTTTTTTTTTTTAATGTTTCAAAAGAAAAAAAAAAAACTTCGTTGTTAATTTTACTATGTGATATGCTGGGGCTTATTTTATATATAATTTCATATTTTTTTAAAAAAAATAGGGGAATTACAGTCTTTCCCAGGAGGTGTGGCACTCCACTTGGGGTTCTCTTTCCTGCCTGGCACTTTATCTTACCTGATGGTGCCCTGCCCCAGGCCCACTCTTCGGGCATTTATTTCCAGTTTGGGAAGAATGGATGCTGAAAGACTGGTTTGTTTCTGTAGAGGCAAAGTGTTGTTGTATTGACAATATTTCCCTTTCAGAGATCATTCAAGCAGAATACTAAGCAATGCGGGGTGAAGCTCCCATCCCCAACAACTGTGATTTCAGAGAGAAAATAACACTTCATTAGGAAAGGCTGAACATGGCCCTTGGGAAATGTGACAGTGTATCTAAGCTCTTTAAGTTCCATTTCTCTTAGAAAAATCAAAGAACTGTTTCCATTGAATGCTCTAGAGAGGGAAGTATCCTGAAGAACTGCATGTTCTCTTAAACTGGAGTTGTGAGACTTGTTAGTTTAAGCCCTGGCTGGGGTACATGGTCTTCAAGTTCAGGAATGCCCTTGTGGCTTCCTGGTAGGCTAGAAGAAGGTCAGCCAGCAGATAAAATCAGGTGGCTATGAGGAGAGCTGGTTATGTAAGATAACTCGGGAAGGAAACTGGTATCAGGCCCAGCAAATCCTGGAAGGAGGGAGAAAGTGTGGTCTGGGCTTGGGTAGGGAGGCAGACAGCAGACCTGTGATGTAACCATGGTAATTTCTGGTGCCTGGCATTATTTTGGTGAAAGAGAGTTTCACACTCTGCAGATATTCAGGATTCAGAGGTTACTCTTTATCAAAATGTGTGGACTTCAGACCAAGCAACTTATAGAGAGGAGCCATCTTTGTTCCAGCAGCCCTGGCCTGCACGTGAGCCACACAGGGGACCTTGCCAGGCAGCCAACTGCTGGCTGGCTTCCTTTCCATCTCCTGCTGGAGCTGCTCCTGTCTGTTAAGTGCCCAGTAAAGAAAAGAAACTCTGCCAAGAAGGCTGAGGGCTGGTGTTTTAATAGGGAACACTCAGAATTCCCATGGAATGGGACTGTGTTCTTGTCTGCTGTGCCCAATGACTTTGTCCCTGTGTTGGTAGTTGCTGACTAGGATGTCATTTGAGATACACAAAGAGGTCTAGAATTATTTTGCCTGGTATAGATCCTAAAACTCAGCCACAAGAGAACTGCTAGATTCTTGAATCAGTTCTTAGGAGTTTTGACACACTGGTTTAAAATCAGGTCTTTCCCCAGGTTTTGCCAGTCAAGGGCCTCAGACCTGCCACATAGGCTACAGCTGAAATCTCCTAAAAATGTGAGCTCCAGGTCCCTCCCTGGGCCCACTGATTTGTGTGTGTATTAAACTCTAAGGAAATGAGAAGGGAGAGTATGAGCTTGGCCCTATTGCTCAGGACTTGAGTATAGAGAAAACACCTGGAAAGGGAATGCTGGCCTGATAGACGATAAACTCATAAATTTTCCTTTGATTGTCTCTGATCTTTTGATATTTGACTTTTAAAGTGCTTAAACTTGAATGTAGCATGAAGACAGTTCATTCTTCGTTAGTGTATAGTGTATAGTGAATGTGCCCTCAAGGCAACGAGCCTAGTGTGTTCCTGACTAAGTTTCCACAGTGGGATGCTGACACAAATTAGCAGGGAACCGTTTCCGTCAAATGCTATAGGGACAGAAGTATGTGGAGGAATTGTGTGCCCGCCTAATGTGGAGCTGTGAGGCCTGTTAGTTTAAACCCTGACTGGGGTAGATGGTCCTCAAGTTCAGAATGGCCTTGGTTGCTTCAAGGTAGGTTACAGTAAGGTCAGCCAGCAGATAAAGCCCAGTGGACTACTGAGGAGAGTTGGTAATATAAGATAACTCAGGAAGGAAAGCAGCACTGAAGTGACCACTAATGTATTTTCCACAGTGTAGCCAGCCTTCCCTTCCCCCATACTTGTCCCAGTATGGGACTTTACCTAAGTTTCAACTTTTAGAGGATCACATAATGCATTTGTCTTCTTTCACTCAACCTTATGTCTGAGAGCTTGTAGTAGTTGTCCTTGTTCATGGCTTTAGAGTACGTCACTGTGGAGAGATGCTGCAGCTTATTTATCCACCTTGCCATTAATGGCCACTTGGAAAATCTCTGCTTTGTGCCTGCTAGATGTCCCGTGCTGCCTGGAGTGGCCTGACCTGAGTATTTGGTGAGTATGAGGATGCGCGCGGTGAGGTGCAGGGACTAATTTTGTGCAAATTCTAATAAGCATAACTTGCCAGCCAAGGTTCCTTGTTACAAAATCTGTTCTTTTTCTGGACTGTCGTGTAGTGATGTCACCAGGACTTGCAAGCAGGCTGGTGGGAGCTCAGCTTTCTGAGCTCCTGGATGTATTTGCTATCCTTGCTGTCGGGCTGCTGTGTGGTGATTCATTCTTGTCTGTGTGTCCTTCCATCCTGAGACTCCTACAGATCTGGAAAGCAGATGGACAAACGTTTTGTAAAACCTGTTTGAAGGCAGGTGGTTCCTAGTCCAAGCAGAATTGTTCCTGAGACTTTTTCCCCCTCACTTTCAGTCTTTTGGATTCCTCATGGTGCTAAATACTGGATTTCAAGTAGTCTCAGTGTGGCCATCATTCTGAAAGTATTGTTATTTAAAGTTTTATGTCATTCACATTTTTATATCACAACCCCCCTTTCAGTTTCATTTACAGTATATTGATAGTTCCACAAAGAAGCGCCATGGTCCTAAATTATTTCTGTTGAAATTATACTATTTAGAAAGACAGAGATAATATGTGGAGTTACATTATTTCAAAAAAGATAAGAATTGGTGTCTGGCTCTGGGGGTGGAGGGGACTCAGCTCCTGCTAAGGTAAGTCTGTGGGAGTCTGTCATGCTGTGCCTGGGACCTTATAATAGTCATGAGATTACTTTTATTTTTTTAATTTTTTTATTTTATTTTATTTATTTATTGTGTGTGTATGTGTGTGTGTGTGTGGCCAGCTCAGCCCACCAGGGGGCAGGGCTGGCTGGCATGTGGTGCTGGGGGATTGAACCGCGGTCCCTGTGCTTTGCTTAGCTTAGCTTGTTCTAAGTAGGTGCTTTAGACCACTGAGTCATCTCACCAGCAGCCTCATGAGATTACTTTTAATCCTCTGCTTTGTGAGCCAAGGACGGTGGTGGTGGGGGAGGGTCCTTAAGAAGTTCTACCCAGGAGCAGTCAAACACCACTGCCTCCTGTGTTCACAGTCTCCTTGTCCATTCAGGTGACTTATTCTAATAACTTACTGCAGCTTCTCCTTCAGTGCTTTGGCTTAAAGCAACCATTAAGCATTTAGTCCCATTTAGTTAGTAGTATTTCTTCCAGTTTTACTGCCCAGAGGAGACACTAACCAAGCAGATGGGTGAGGAATGTGCTCAGGTGACAGGAAGAGTAATGGAGACTGAAGGAATGTAAATAAAGGTTTAGGATAAAAAATATAAAGCCAGATAAATGTCAATGTACATATCACTGAAATTGCTTTTCCTTATCTGCTGAACCAGTAAGCTAAGGTGATGACCCAATTAAGGAAAGACCGTTGCTGCTTTTCCTGATACTTCCGGTTGGCTGAGGTCAGATTGTTTTGGGAGATAGCGACTGTGGATAGGAAGATGATGTGACCCTCTGGTGAGCTGCAGTTTAGGGAGCTTGACTGTGGATCTGCTTTCAGGATGACTGATCTTTCTCTAAAGTAAAAAAAGTCAAATTTCAATAGAAGCTTTGACTACCTTTCTAAAGCACATTCAAAAAAATTCATTCTTCAGTTCTGCAGAAAAAAAAAATGGAAAAAAGCAACTAAATGTTTTAGCAGTGAGCAAGGGTGGCAAAGTTAGATGTGAGACGGGCAGGGGAGCCTCTCCAGAAGCTTCGCCTTGTGAGAAACAGTCCCCTGAGGAGGACTTAGCTATTAAAGTGTTAAATTAGCAATGCTAATAGCATTTTATTTCAAAGGCAAAATGTGTTAAGAAAATGCGCAAGAACCTTTTTATAGCAGATTTTGCTTTGGTTTGGCATATTTGGTCGGTAGTTCTATCTTTGGGTAAAAGAGACAGATACCTGACACTACTCTTTATGTCTGATGTTGACATAGTAGTGTGGGTAGATAAAAGCTGGAGATTCTTTTAGTTTTTGTTTTGTTTTGTTTTGTTTTATGTGTGTGCAGGGTCT